TTTTTTTTTTTTTGGCTTATCGACCACATGGCTGTTTCATTTTTGTTTTTAAATTTGCTGTTCTTTCTAGTAGCTGTTAATTGTTTCTATTTGTTTTAATTTAAAAAAATATATAACTGTAGACTGGGCTAGTTGTCCAAAGTAAGATCCAAAGATAAAAATTGTTCTCTTGGGTTATTAACATTGGAATTATTACTGAATTATTAACATTTAAACAATTATACCACTTAACGTTTTTCTGAGTATTCATTAAAACTAGCATAATGTTAATATCTGTTTGTACTTGGCATAAATATCAGACATATAGACAGCTGAAGAAGCATAGTGAATGAACATTCAACAGAGGGCAGAAAGGTAACTTAGGAATATAGTATAGGGATAGACTTATATCCATCTGTGCCATCTCTCTGTCACAACACCTCTGCTTCTTTATATAGTGCCAGCCATGAGACCTTTTTAGGGGAAAAAATCAGGGAGACAGGCTATATGGAGCTGAATCCAGGCTTTCAATCAGCAGGCTGTATAGTCAATCTTTCAATGAATATGGAGCCTTGTAAATCACATTTTTTTTCCTTGAGATTCCTGAAATTTTCATCCCAAAAGTTAATCAGTATGCCTTTAGATAAATATTTAAGAGCAATTGCATATTTGGTCTGTTCACTCTTAGCTTTAAGAAATTTTATTTTTCTGTTATGCAGAATGGTACAAGAAGAAGAACACCAGGAGGAGTTTATTTAAATTTGCTGAAAAACACACCCAGCATAACAGGAGAACAAATCAAAGTAAGTTATGTCCATGTATTATGTAGAATTTTCTGGATACAGCTCTTTTTACCTTATTTTCTTTCTATTAATACATCTTCTGAAGTTGTTAATTGATGCCTATGAAAATGCATAGGTTCTTACAATTATAATTAAGCCAGATACTCTCATAATAATCAATTTTTAACATTTGTGTTGTGACAGACTATGTTATGATTATTCAGAATTTCAGGATGAACAGTTCCATGTTCACTTTTTTTATTTAAGCAAGTGTCATCACCTAATTTTTTTTATTATTTTCATACCAGAACAGGTAAACATTAAAGCTTCATGAGTGCAATTAGTATTTCCTGGTCATTAAACACTTTACATTGTATTCCATCCTCTACAAATAAAGTTCTTGACAATATTCAAACAATGCCCCAAGGAATACACAATGATTGTGCTAATTAGAGCTGTCACGTTAGCAAATGAAAGAGTCCATTTTTATTGTAGACATTAAGTCCCAGTTGTAGTAGAGCAGCCAGTTCCTTTGGAGGCAGTTGAACCTTCATTTTCTTAACTCAGAGGCGGAACAGAGTGTCCCAAAGGGGCGGCTTGAAGCAGCCCCTGAGAGACCCGGGTTGGGCCGCAGCAATCGCACACCATGGCCCCAATCCAGCTTCTTCCTCCCCACCGCAGCTTTACTGCACTCCTGCAGCACGTAAATGCAGCACCGCTGCAGCACTGTAAAACCAGTCCACACATGGGTGAGTGGGCAGCGTGATGCCAGCTTCCGGGTGGCTTCAAAGCGGGCGGTATGAAAACACCGCGCCCTGAAGCTGCCCAGAAGCCAGCACAAAGGGCAGTCTGTTTCACCCCTCACTTGGGTTCTCCTCACAGAGAGACTGAATGGAAATAGATATCTGCTCCTAGAACTTGGTGTGGTATTAATGGGTGCTGGGAGCATGTAGGCACTTCACTATGCAGTTTTTATCTCCCATAAGATTAATTTGTTGAACTGAAAGTGGGCCTGGTAATTTTGGGGGGTGGGGGAGTGCAATTGAATAACCACTGAGGGTTTGCCTCCTTTTATAGTCAGTCTCAGCTTGCCTTGTTTTGAATTCAGCAGCATTACAGATAAAAAGGTCCCTCTTTGAAAAGACTGCTTCTGGACTAAACCTGGCCCACCCACATGTGGCCAGGAGCCTTCCTTTTTTTTCTGCATATGACCAATTCCCTGTTCATACAGGGGACAGCAACCACTTTGAGAGGCAACAGAAGAAAGACAGTTTTATAAGCGTACTTGAAATTGAACACACATGCGGAATCTGTTGGGACCTTGTTAATTACATCAAGTTTCTAAAACTATTTTTGAAAATCCCTGCCATTGACAATGTAACGTGCTGATCCCAATGATATTTTATGATATGAACGTCAAGCATTGAGATTTTTTTCTCAGACCAGTTATTTGGGACTGCATGTGAGTAAAGGAAACAATGTAATATAAAACATGAATATGTAGCAGTAGCATTGTTGAAAGGTATTTGTATGGGACTGAATACAGAAATCACAACTGTAGTAGAGATTGCGAGGGGGAAAATATGTAACATTTCACAGTCCCATTAACGTGTGCCCAGAACAGCATATGAGAGAGGAACACAGATTTTGATGGTGAAACAATTGCTCACATACATGAAATATTTGAACAAATGCATTTGAAAGACAAATGTGGATTTATATTTCACTTAAATTATTTTGCTAAAATGGGAGATGAAAGTGACTGCAAAGATGCATCTACATCTTCAGAGAGACATTGGTTCGACAAGTTGCTAACCAAAATAAAGAGTTTTTGAAGTTACACAATGGGCTTCAGGAAAACACATAGCTTGTCAGCACTTTGGTTTATTACTATGTAAAATATAGAGAGTCAGTGTGGTGTAGGGGATTGAATGACAGGCTATGACTCTGCAGACCAGAGTTTGAATCCCTGCTCAGCCATGTAACTCCACTGGGTGAATGTGGGCAAGTCACACTCTCGCAGCCTCAGAGGCTGGCACTGGCAAACCTCCTCTGAAGAAACTTGCCAAGAAAACCCCATGATGGTTCGCCTTAGAGTTGCCATAAGTTGGGAACAACTTGAAGGCACACAACACAGTAACAATTTAAGATATTTTTTTCCAATTTATATGTAACACTTCACATTATTCTCACTAGCCATGATTTCGGTTGACTGTACAATTAGAAGAGGTTTAGACTTCAGTGTTTTGACTGTTTTGACTGAAAATGCTGATTCCAAGATTTTACAATGCTGTAAAATCAGTTCTTAAATTATTTAGAACTAAACCTCTGTGAAATACTCCATCACCAGGGGGGTAGTGTCCAGAGACATAGCCATGTTAGTCTGGAATATTAGTGTGCAAAAGGATCTTGTAGCACCTTTTGAGACTACCTGAGTGAAATAAGTTGTAGCATTAAGTTTCGTATACCTTGCAGCAAATCACACAGCCCTTAAAGAGTGGCCTCTCACTGCAATCATGCTGGGACCATGATGACTGCACTGCCCACTTCCAAAGCGAGCCCCTGCTATGGTCCCAAACCAGTCACCACTAGGAGCTGGATTATTTTCACTTCTTTTTGATCCAGTCCAAAAGACCAGATCGCCATGTCGGAGTGGCTTCCAGCCACTTTGGAGGCATGCACCATTTGAACACCACACCCCCACAGCGGCCAGAAGCTGCTTTATTTGGCCTGTGTGTTTCAGGCCTTAGTCTGTGGAAACAGACTCATTCTATGAAAGCTAATGCTGCAACTTCTTTTGCTCAGTCTCAAAGGTGCCTTTGCATACTGGCTGTCACCAGTTGTCCATTATGTTATTCCTATCATATGCATTCCCTTGACATAATGTCCTATGGCACTTTGGGAATTTATTGATATGTTTCCATATTTTCTTTTGCCATGATGGTTGTGCTACTGTTGGCTGTCAGACATGATAAAACCAAGTCTCTACCATGTGGGGGGCCTTTCCTCTCAGCTGTATGGTAGCCAAGGAAAACCAAGTGCTGTCTGACTGGTGACTCCCAGTCTGTTTTTAACTATAGTTCCACACAACTGCAGGTACTTGACTTTAAAGCCCCAAATAGGATGGAGCTAAAGTAACTGAAGGCACGCCTGTTATTAGGTACACCTGAAAGCAGTCACCTCTGTAATAGAGGAGAAAGTTAGAAAGGGGGTGTTTCCTTGGTGAAGATGTCCTGTGTTTTCCTTCATATGAACTTTGCTGTCATATAAATACCAAACACATTTTTTTAATTTCCTCGGGCTTTAAAATTCTGATACATTATAATTATATGTGTGGTATTTTAGTACCTGCACTGAGAATGTTACATTGATGAATGACCTATAAATGTGTGTCTTAGGTACATTTTACTAAGGGGGGTTGCAGACTGCCAGAAATAGTGCAAATTGAGTCCAATTTTAGGGTTAGGGTTAGTGGTAGGGAATCATGGGAATTGGTTGTGGTTTTTTTTTTTTTCTGAGACATTGAGCCTTCTCTGTCAGAGAGCTCTGGTGCCACAATAAAATACAATTCCCATTATTCCCTAACCCTAAAAGTGGACTCAATTTGCACTATTTCTGGCAGTCTGGAACCCCCCTAAATAAATTTAGAACATGGCTCTAAGTCTGTAACAAAGAGATCTATGTCTTAAACAGAGCTGCTTTAGAGGTTTCACCTTCCAGCTTTGTGCCTATATCTTTTAAAGATAAAAAGTTGTGTGTGGGGTGGATTTCTGTACAGCTCTGTTTCAGATATACAGTGTGGGCCAGAAAGAGGGAAGGCTGTTCAGAAATCAAAATAGCCTCCTCTCTTTCAGGGGCAGGTTGCTTGTTAAGCCTGGGAGAAACCATGGGACTTCTGGGCACATTTCTTACCCCACATACCACTAAGGGCCTGCTGGACACTCTGAAATACTCTGTATTTATTTTTAAAAGGGCAGTAGAAATGCCTCTTTCTCATGTCTAACATTATTATGTTTCATTTTGGAAATAAGGACAGTTGTACCTATGAAACTCCATTCTGCAGTTTTTAAAAGCAAATTAGAGTAAAAAATTGCTTCTCTCAGAATAATCCATTTGCAAAATATTATTTTAGCAGTAAATCAGTACAAGTATAATGTTAAGAAAATATTTCTGATCCATACCTAATTTAATATAATGGTAATAGCTCTCAATGTTTATAGTTTTTTTGTATGAATAAACCTGCTTGTCTTTAATTGATAAATTTACAGCTGTTTAAAATAGAGCATCCCTTCCCCTTTGGGAAATGGAATATTTGATTTTATAATATTCTGTAGCAATTTTTGAAAAGATGGCATTCTTCAAAAAAAAAGTGTTTGTACTTCTGTAAGCTTTTATCTTTAGAATAAAGGTTAACTGAGGCAGCTAATAGTTTCTGAAAGAGTGACTTGACCATTATTCCTTAGCACCTCATGAAGTATTAAAATTATCTTTGAAGGAAATCTTCTATATTGAAAACCAAAAGGAGTGTGAGAACAAAAAAGCTGCAAAGAAGAGGCGAATTCAAGTCCTGGGGAAAAAGATGAAGAAAGCTATTAAAGGACTCAACCTTCAAGAATATGATGATGCCTCTCGAGAGACTTTTGCTAGTGATACAAATGAAGCTCTGGCTTCTCTGGATGACTTGCAGGAAGGACACAGTGAAATGAAATTGGATCCAGAGGATGCTATTGAGATAGATAACACTCATGATTTAGATATCTTTTAATGTACTGGGTCCTTGAAAGACCTTAATTTTGTGACACATTAAATTGCAGTTTTTCTATTTTGGCTATTCTTTCTTTTTCAGTTTTGGAGTAATACACATTATGTCAATCAATTATTTGCTGAAGAGGGCCTTGTATTTTTCACAGTGCTAATACTTGAGTTTTCATGGTTTTTAGAGCCCCCTCTTTTGTTGTATAATTTATGTCCTCAGCATCTTCATAGCCTTTGTTCGCTCACCTCAGGATTTATTTTTTTTAATAAAAAAGAACAAAACTGAGTGCTCTCTAATACTCACGTAAGAGGCCTACTGTAGTTGTATGGAGACATTTTTCATTTAACCAAAGGTAATATTCAGCAAAGTGACATTTATTCAAAATGTACTCTGGCAAGGAAACATTTAGTAGGACCATAGCCTCAGTTAATAGTAAGTCTGGAGACATAGTTTGGTACATTTGGGAACATTGGGCTATGGTGAGAACTGGTATTCCATGTGCTTATAAATTAAACTGTATCTTTAGATTGAGAATGGGAAGGAATATAGGGTAGTTTTTTTAAAAAACCAACTTGATTCCCATATAGTAAAAAAAAAAATAATAATAAGATTTTCTCTAAGGTTTTTAAGGAGTGTTGAGATTTTTTCCTATCCCAATGGCAATGAAAAGCCCTTATTTTTTCTTATAAATGTGGAGCACCAAATCTACAGAACTAATCACAACTTCAAATATTCTTGAATCATTTGTATTTTAAAAACACTTTTCATAAATTATTGCAGTGAGTAGGACAGTTAGACCTCTTTCAGTTATCTTCTGTTTGCCCAGTTTTTGCGCTAATGCTATCGATTGCATCAAATTACCTTTAAGTACTACTGAAATGAGTCACAGTTAAGTGCAATGGATTGGATTCAGACTAAAAACAAAGGGACGTATGTCTGTCATGACTTTAGTTCCATTGATTTCAGTGGGTCTGTTCAAACTTACTGTGTCCAAATTCAACCTTATGAATGTAAGTATAGGACTCCAGTTTCAGTGGGCCAAATCCACATTCTTGGTTATCTTTTTTAAAAAACCTATAGAGTGTTCTTTCCAAAGTAAAAATCTTGATTGCTTCATTATCTTGGGAAATGTTCTGGGTTTTATACTTTAGCTTTATCAAGCAGTGGAAATATACATGATAACAAAGGTGTGGGCACTCCATTTTCAATGCTGATGTCTTGGGATCATTCTCATCTGTATATTGACTTAAATATCCAACTGCAAGTGGACTGTTGAGGTTTAAGCTGTGGTTCTTGGATACATTCCAAGGAGTCTACAATCTGATACACATCGGCGATTCTCCAAATTCGGGTCCTTGTAGTTGTTGAAATACAGCTCAAAAATCTCTAGCAATTGGCTGTACTAGTTAGAATATAGAAGTTGGTCAATCAACATCAGAGGACTTTTTTACTGAAAGTCAGTGGCACTACATAGTCTTCATTGTAAATGCATTGTAAGTGGTGTTCGGCAAGTATAGCAACAAAAAATTGTCATGACCAACAATTTTGAAACTACAAATCTAGTTGGGGGTAGAACAGTGAGATATCTGATTTCACAGGGTGCTACTGACAGGATATTCTGTGTACAGACCCCTGATTTATTTTAGAATTTCTCCAAAATATTGGAGTAAATATTCAGTTCAAAATGTGAAAAGAATGGCTGATCTTTCAAGGTGATAAAATACTGCTTAATGTATATTGTGGATGGGCTACAGTTTTATGTGCAGTCAAATTATTTGAAAGCTTAGTGTTGCATTGTTAATAGCGGATCGTCCTTCTGCAGTCATCTTGGTAAGATTGTTTCCCATCTACACAAAACACTCGTTTTTAACATGAGAGCCCTCAGCTAGAAACACATCCTATTGAATGTAATGGATCTCCTGTGTGTACATACATAGGAGTGAACTGTTAGCCAGGAAATCTCTCTACTATTTAAGTTACTGCTTTCAGCTAATTTTTCTGGTGTGCTTCTCAATCACCCATATTCTAAATGAACTATATGCTGTCTGTGACTGGATATCTTCTTTTTTTTCCACATTTTCTCTTTCATAGTTCCTTTTTAAAAAAATTATTGCTCAAAACTCTAATCTTCAGAGTGGCTTTATTTTTCTTTACACTAAAATAACTCTAGTCAATAGTTCTGTATGTGGGATCTGGCTGTAAAATGCATCCAGTATTTTTCTAC